CAGCAATACACAAAACACCCCAGCATCACGGTGGTCACTTCTGCACACACAAGAACCAATAACATATTTCCAAAATATTAATACACTGTATATTACATACACTATCTAATGCTACATTTTCAGTGTCTCTTAATTATAACTGTCTTTTCAGAAATTCTGGTGTACGCCTTTCATATCACAATAAAATCAGACTTATTGTTCTGAACACAATACCAACATCCTCCACAGAGAAGCCACACTGGAACGGTGGGCAGCAATCTTCACACTTGTCCTATTATATGGAAACTCCTAGTCTGCAGTGCACTTGGTTTGCTGAAGTCAGTGCTTGAGTCATGCAGGGCAGAACGCTCGGAGACTAACAAGTGTCATTGAGAAGGCCATGCTAAATAAGCAGGGCACCAAAACTCAACAGAAAACCAGCTAGGAGTATGATTGCTGGAAACATCAATACGTTTAGTATCAAAGCACTTTCCTCACTAAACTTTTGTATCCATTTCACATTTGTGCGCATAGCGATGGTGTTGCTAAGCCAGGTGGCTTGTGTTCATTAATGCATCCTTGTAAGAAGCCAACCTGCCCACGGAGATTACAGTAGCATGCTGTCTTGCATTCCAAAAGAGGAACAGTTGCTGGACAAACACGCAAATTGGACTCTGGGGTGTTTTAAAAACAAACATTTAAACACCAGAGATTTAACTTTAATGCATGCACGGATGAAACAATGCAACTCGCATTTCCATAAACCTTAAATGTAAGTGTATCAAAGTACAGTTAAATAAATTAAAGTATTGTCATCATTTACTCACTCTCACGTCATTCCAAAATCTAAACTCTGATGACTTGGTTTCTTCAGTGGGACACAAAAGGAGAAGTTTAGCAGATTGTCCAAGCTGCTCATTTCCATACAACAACTTTTGGGACAGCCGCACAATTCCATGTTTAACTCCTTTCAGTAATTTGATGTCCGTTCCTCACAAAGCTATCGTACAATTAATTAAATATGGAATATTGCTTATGAATCATATGGAGCACTTTCAGTGTTGGACAGCAAAAAGTATCTTTACTTCGTATAATTTTCAGAATCAGAATCAGAATGAGCTTTATTGCCAGGTATGTTTACACATACGAGGAATTTGTTTTCATGACAGAAGCTCCACAGTGCAACAGAATGACAGTGACAGAACAAAAACACAGATAATAAAAAATTTTAAATAGAACAAGTAAATAAGGAATAAAAATATATAAATCACAATTGTATGTGCAGGTATGTTACAATAGCTTTGTATGTACAGGTACTGTATATTATGTGCAAATTTGAGGTGTAGACTGAGTATGAGTGTTAGATAAATAAGTGTATGAGTGAATAAATAGTGTGTGTTCCACAGTTATTGTTAAGTGTTCATGAGATGGATGGCCTGAGGGAAGAAACTGTCCTGTGT